TCAAAACTGTTGATGCTGCAGAAGAAGAAGAGCTGGGCTTTCACAGCCATGTCACCTGCTGTCACACGTACACACCGTAGTCATGGTGACGTATTACACTGACCTCTGAAAAGCTGGACACCAGGAGCAAACGATCCTGTTTGAAAGCGGCAAATTCATCCTTACGGGAGAAGGAAGGGTGCAGACACAGACGTGTGTTTGCTTTGTGACTCATGTCTACCTCTGAAATGCAACATCTTTGATAAAACTAGAGGAACTGATGCCCCAGAAAAAAAAAGTTGGCCAATTTGAAACCTAAAAACAAACATTAGTTCTGATTTATTTGCCTCGTGCTGTTTTTACTACTTTAAAATGATGCTAACAGAAGCTGGAGCACTAAGTTAGCATTAAATGATTGTCAGTGTATTTAACTAACGTTGCAGATTTTAGATTCACGTTATTTTCTCACTTTCTTGTTTCCTTGAATTACATTGAGTCCATGTATGAGGGTGAATCAGACCTTAGTGCACCGCAGTAATCTAATCCTGAACTCAAATCCTTACAGGATAAGTTTAAATTAAGATTTAATAATTAATTAATAATTATTATAATAATCCTAATAACCTTAATAATAATTAAGGTTATTAGGATCCAGTTTACTATCAGTGCTTGTTCCTGATGTTAATATATCTTTTTCATCTCTGATGTCATTGTAGACTAAATCCATTTCATGCTTTTATTGTATTTATTTTTTACATATAATTGTAGCAAATAGAAGTAAAAAGAACTGAAAACACAAAGAGAGCTTTTTGTTTATCTTCCTGTTGGTGGAAGTTGTATCCGTACTTTTACTGAAATATGTTGTTTACATGCTTACTTGAGGGTTACGTTCGGTAAAGCTTCGGTCCATTATGGGATACTGCAGGGAGGGATTCATATGTCTGTCAGCTGTCACTTGTTGTCTTGTTGTCACTGACGAGCTGGCATTTGTCAGTTAGCATCGCTGCTCTGCGGCTTCTTCTTTATTGTTTTGGGAGCTCGGTTCATGAGGCCGTCTGGTCTCAGTGTCTGTCAGTGATTGGCTGCTCGGGATGCTTCCTCAGCCTTGATCCTGAATGCAAGCAGGGGTGGGAGAGGTTATATTTTAGTGTTAACATAAAGTTTTGGTTCTGGTTTCAAAAAAGGAAACGTAACTTTTAATAGCACAACGTTGCCATTACAGAACAAGGTGTTGTTTCTCCGCTGCAGCGACGACTCCCAAAGACTATCAGTCTGCTCATAGAGAATACCGTTTCAGGCTTTCCTGGATACAAAACATTTAACTTGTCAGGCAAATTAAAGCGAGCTTTTTCTAGTCTGGTGCAGGCTGCTGATCAACAGCAAAGTGAGGGTCAGGTTTATAACAGTGGTGAGTTATTACTGTCCTGTATGAGCACAGGAAGTGTCACACAGCTAGCTTGGCTCAGGCTAATTGAAGCTCCACTATTGTGCTTTGTGCCTGGATGCTGCTACTGTGTGATAATCGCGCAGGAAAGCTTAAACCCCGATGGCAGCCACACTCATTATATCTCTGCTCCTGTTATATTCATTTTAAGACACCTTCCTGCAGCTTTGGGCATTTTTATTCAAACTCTGGAGGCTAACAGTAGGAGTGAGGCAAACACCGACAGCTGGTGACTACAGAGAATGAAAATACAACATAACGAGGGCGTGTTTGGCACTTTAGCTGTGACGTTATTCAATCAGGCTTTGCTACTTCCCAGTGACAACATATACACATGGATGGACTTCCAGATGTTTCAGGAATTTTTTATTTTTTATTTCAAGTATTTTTGCCTTTTTACATTTGTCTTCACTTACTGACCATGTAGGACACTTAGAAGGATGTTGTGCATCACCAGTCAAGCTAACTGTGACTTTTTGGCCAATATCAGACATTTGCACTGTGTGATGCTCAGAATACACTGACTTTAAAATGTAATTGTGCTTTTACCAAAATGTCCAAACATAAGATTTTTCTATAAGTGTTTCAACCTCTTACTGTGCAGTAAGGTGCTTTGGTATCCAGGGGTCTGGAAGGTTCTCCTGGTTGTAGGACCTTCACCCTCCGTTGTGATGGCCTGTACCTCCAGCCTGTACAAACTAGCAGGGCGCAGGCCTGACACCACTAGAACATTACCATCCTGAAAGAGAGGAGACAACAAGTCAAGGAAAC